ACCATAGTTGCTTTGACGAAACGCACCCCTGAACGTGCGGAAGAAACATTACTTCTAATTTTGCCAAAGAAAACTTGTTAAAATCAAAATTTTTCTATATTAATTTGAGCATTTTTCAAATGTTTATAAAGTTGCAAAAAGTCAAATAAAAATATTAAAAATAAAGTAAATATTTTACTTTTTCAGGCAGCATTTTGTGTGTACGGTTCTAATTTCAATTAAGGTTTTCAGCATAGCATTTAAAAATAGATTAAAACAGCTTTTAGTTTTCTTTTTTTTGTCATGGTTTAAAAAACTAATGGACGCAAAAGTACACGGACCATCACACAGCTTTATATATAAATATATTTAGACACCTGAATTTCATATTATTCAAACGAAATCCTTTCATCCTGCCATCTCCTTCCTCTTGGTCAGTTCAAAGTGCGTGAAGTCAGGAGAGTGCAGCTGGACAGTAAGATCACAAAGTGTCTGAGTCTCCAATCGTTTTTCGAGTCTTCGCTATTGTTTCAATGCAAAGGAAACCACCGCGCTGTTATTTGTTGTGTAGTGATGGGTATGTTTAAGTAAGCTAATTAATTAATTTCAAACCCTGGATATGATATATGATAATTCTCAAAAAAAAAAATTGGCTTAATTAACATGAAATATCACCATTGCACCCTTAATCCCAAACAGCTCCAGAGGAAATGCCCACTGCAATATAAATATAATATTACAATAAGTCATTTGGACAAAAATGCTGTCAATGTTACTAACTTCAGTCATTGCAAAGTGTTCGTTTTCAAAGTGCTTATCCTACGTAACAGCCCCCTGGAGAGATTTTGGTGAAGAACACAATGAATATGGAAGAAGAGATGCTAATAATTCCATAAATTTTTTTTTTAACATATTAACACCATTGAGCCAGCTGTCATTTTACATTCCGCTGGGGTCACCAAGTACCCATAATAAATAAAATGTAAATAAAATAAATGTTTTGGTGATCTAATGGCAAGTCCGACAGAATTGCGTTCCTCACACCACTTTTGTAATTAATAACCCTTCTCTGTCTCTTTTTCTGTCTACAGGTAAAGACAGCACAGGGCTGACAGATTCTGAGTTGCCCCAAAACAGTGATCCTGCAGGGATGGATGGCAGCTACCTCAGCGTAAAGGAGTCAGGAGTGAAAAGCCCTCAGCAGCCAAACTCAGAGTTGGCTTCTCCATTGGACAAGGCTGAGGGAGAGAGCAACAAGGGCAAGAAAAGACGCAACCGCACCACCTTCACAAGCTATCAGCTAGAGGAGCTGGAGAAAGTCTTTCAGAAAACACACTATCCCGATGTCTACGCCCGGGAACAACTTGCACTGAGAACTGACCTGACAGAAGCTCGAGTACAGGTGTGAACTCTTTAACCCCACACATCCATTACCAAATCCAATCCTGCGTTTTAAATCACCTTTAACGTTGAGGCTAGATGAACATGAGTCTTTCTCTACTAATTTTAGTCCAGTTGAGTTTTTTGTAATCCAAAATGAGGGATGATCTTGCAAAGAGATATTGCACTCAGCGCCATGATTATTAAATATAAATAGAGAATTCAGAGCAAAAGTGGTTAAAGTTGGCCATCACAAGAGATTATAAAGGAAAAAAGGTCTTACAGATTAGACATGTCTAGAGTCTGCTTTTATCTCAAGCCTCTACCTGAACCTCGGAGCCCAGCTGAATTAACCTATGCCTAGGTCTAGAAAACCAGAACCTTTATGTGACCCACCCCAACCCCCACCCCTACCCCTACATTTGCATATAATCCCTCCAACACCACTGCTGCATTCCTGCACCGACAGACAGACCGGGAGATCCCTTTACCCGACCCCAAATGTGCGCTTTACTTAGAAGCCCTGGATTTACACTGTTTTTCTTTCATTAATGTCCCACTCAAGAAAGAATGTGTCCCTCCCTGCTCTCAAGGGTAGGTGAGCGAACCTGGCCTGAAGCTCCTTCGTGTGGTGAGGGTTGCTTATGACCTACATACATGCAAACGTCTTTGACTATAACTAAAGAATGATTGGAAACATCCAAAGAACCATGATGGCTCAGGGACAATGAGCATTGTCAAATCTTTTTGGAAAGATAACTATTTTACTACACATAACTCAAATGTTATGTGTAGCTAATGTTAGCTTTTTTTTTTTACAGCAACATGAAATAAGCACAAAACTTTTGCAGAACCCACCCCCCTTCTCCTCCCCATCATTTCCTGTTGCTTCTTTATTCTCCTGTATTATTGAAGTAAAAAAACAAAAACAAAATAATGATTAAAAAACAAAAACAAAAATGTACTTGCGTAAAAACAGACTTACAATTAAGTAGCATTGTAAATTGCTGTTTACTATACTAAAAACACAAATTGGCAGAAAATATTTGGTTTGTTTTTGCCTTTCTAAGAGAAAGATCTGATAATATTAATATATTGAATAATAATATATCTAGATACATTTAGTCAAAGGTTAAAGGCTTAAATACAGTCAACCTTTTCATCTAAAAATGTCATTTGACATGATGACCAAATAAAAATTACTTAAGACATAGAAATAAAATATTATGCATTTTTCTATAATTACAGGTCTGGAGGTTCAAGAAAAAAAATCTAAAAATGAATGATTTTTTTTAAGTAGAAGAGTGAGCTTGAGTGACAGCAGAGGCAGACCATCAATCCTCAAAGCTACTCTGGACTTCAAAGCTGCTCTTTCCCCTTTTCTCCTGGGTTTAGTTCAGTGTTTCTGTTCTCTCTCCCCTGGTGCTGGAACATAAATAAAGCTCCATAATAAGCCTCTAAGCTGCTTTAGCTGTCAGCGTCTTTACCAATTACTGTGTTACTAGCACGCATGGACAACATACAAAAGATTAAAAAAGAGCGACTTTTCCTGCTATGTTTCGAACAGGTGCTGGTCAAAATTAGTTGACTTGTTAATATTGGCAGCCTTGAACTTATTCAGCAGCAACCACTAAAGGAAAGAGTGACAGAAAATAAAGAAACCAAAATGCAAGACCAAGGTTGTGACTGAACTAAAGACCCAAATAACTCCCCCCCCATCTATGATCTCTCTCTCTCCCTGTCAGTCTGGTTTATAGTTGAGCTTTTGGTATAAGCATATACTACACACCTCACCACTGGCTCATCAGTATGAAAGGAATAAGGGAATATTTCCACCACTCGTCTACGTGCCTCTACCGGGTTGGAGAGTCAGATATGGAAATCCAGGAGCTTAAGAGTCAGGAAATTAAACAAAGAATGAAAACAAACTCCATTTTGAACTTTCTTCCATCTTTCTTTTCAATCTCCCAACTTCCATGCTTTGATTTATGAAGGGGAAGACAGTTTGAGAAAAAGATAAGTATAAAGACAGGAATAAAAATGATGGCGCACACAATGCATATTAAACAGACGTTTTAGCATTCATAGATGCCCAGACAGCATCAACAACTAGAATCATTTCAAAACACTCAAACGATGACACAAGGACGCAAACGGAGAGCCACAAGAGTGATGCCTGCTGAAAAAAATCTGTGCAATTCAGAAAACAAATGTTCTTTTTTCTCAAGGCAGTTAAGCTCTACAAACATATGATGTGGAGCCAAGGGACGCTGATGTCCACCACCACATTAAGTGCAAGCAGAGCTGAGGTGCTATCAGGTTACGCTGAGAGATAGGCTGACATCTCGCTGGCAATAGATGCAAAAACCACAAACTGATTGACCAAAGAGCCATACCCAGATCCAAGTTCAAGCTCCGTGACGAATCGAGATTGCAAGACAAAAGAAAGTCTCTGTATGAAAAAAAGAAAAAAAACTTTCCACTACACAAATCAATAAACAGATAGTTCTAAACAGCGAAGATCCGGGATTAAAAGAATGGAATTTTGGCAGCTCTTCAGACTGCGACCCATGAGAAATCACTTTATGTGTAATTTGTTCTCTAATTCCCAGGTCTCCAAATAACAACCATCTATTCAGGGAAACAATGCATATTTCTATAGCAAAGCAAAAAAGGGGGGGGGGGGGGGGGAGAGAAAGAAAGTGCACATCGCCAGATAAAATCTAGTACTGACTATTTCTTAAATGAATAGTTCAGTCAAAAATGCTAATTAGTTTATAGCATTATTTACACACTCACATGTCATTCAAGCCTGTGTGTCTTTCATTCCTCTATCGATCACAAAAGAAGATATTTTGAATAAAGTTTCAGACATGTTTTCCACATCAGTGAGCTCAAAAGCTTTCATTGCATGCAAAAAAAAAAGAAAAAAGAAAAGTCATGCAGGTCCAGAATGATAAATTAAATGATACATTTTTATTTTTGATTCACCTTTTTCTTTCTAAAAGCTGAGTGGCAAACTCCTAATCCATCAAAGCAAGCGTATGGTGGTGGAGGAACAGGGGGAGTGACACTGTTCTCTGAGCTCTCTGGCCCCGGTGGGTTCCTGCTTTCTCCTCCCTGCCCCCTGCAGCTGCTGATGGCTCTGATAGAAAAGAAACTCAGAGGAGGCCATCACAGTCTGTCAACTCCCACATCATCAAACAATGGCCAGGTCTCACCGAACTGTTTCCAGGAAAAGATGCTGAAAAATAATACAGCAGAGGTGTTTCCTACATTAGCTCTAGACTTACAACTCAAGTGACAGACTCTCTAGGCACCCAAAAAAAAAAATTGCATCTAGACATTTGATCCCAAATGAGTTACACAATGTGATCAGTGTACATACCGTGTAATAATGGGAAGCCTGATGATGGATGTTTACCACTCTGTGTAAATAAATCTCCACTAAGAAAACATTTCCTCTCTATGATGTAACACCACAAGTGGCCAGTTAATGTGAGGTTATTTAATCACTTACTAATGAGATATCCTCATGATTAAGGACTGATGTCTGTCTTGCAGGTGTGGTTCCAAAACCGCAGAGCCAAGTGGAGGAAGAGAGAGCGTTTCGGACAGATGCAGCAGGTCCGGACGCATTTTTCCACGGCCTATGAACTGCCCCTTCTCACTCGGCCTGAGAACTACGCTCAGGTAGAGAACTATCTTCAGTAATAGCTGAAAGTTAAGGAAATATCAGTAATGAATATTCATTATTATTATGCATGCTCATTAAGGATGTACATTTAAAATAAATAAAAAATAATGTCATTAGTGTGTTCACACTGAAAATTACAAAAATGAAAAGTGCACTTCAAGTGCCCAGATAATGCACTTAATTACCCCAAAATATGATGTTTGGAATGCTGGACACTTCATGTGCTCAATTGTCGTAGCTTTAATTATCAGACTCTGATGTTAGATGACAAAATAACCTTATATAATTTATACACTAGATGGTTGAGTACATAGTGCATAGAATAAGTGCATAGTATATAGTGCGTCATTTGGGAAATCTTTAGCCTTTAAAAAAAAAAAAAAAAACCCCCAGTTTTTCATTCAGGATTCGGACTAAACTGGTCACACTTTCTCTGTTATGATGTACATTTTCTACCGATGTTGCACCACCACTGAATAGTAGTGCAGGAAACCATGTCAGAGTACTTTATTAAGAATGCATGTGCGAGAACCGTTATTGACAGTCATACCTTAATGAATAGTAAGTTAACTTTTTAAAACCTAAATGTTGAACATTTGGGAATTTTAAATGAAAAACAATCTGTGTACCTTTGACAATTGTGAGACCTGAGGAAACACAATGTCGAGGCCCGGTCTGTGCTGTGGCAGAGGACGGTATGCCTTCACAGGAGAGCCAGAGAATCTCCTGGATTTATTATGAATATGCGGCCGGGTCGGAGGGCAGGGGTGGCTCTTTGGGGAGCACGCCTGCAGCTGTGGAATGCAGCTTTGCTCACATCTGGGGCATCTCCCTGAGAGGGCTTTCATCTCCCTCCACAGCCCTCCCTCAGACCCCCACCTCCCCAGGCCCAGAGCAGAATACAGCCCTATCAATTCACTCTGTGCTCCCTCCGCTCAGCAGAGGAGGTTACTCTGGGTGTTGAAGGAACGTCTAGAGACAGGCATTCCTCCTCCACACTAGGCAAGCAGCTCCCACTCAGTATGGGACCAGATGAATGCCTCACAGCTCTTGATAAATCTCAACGTCGAGTACCACTGCAATAATTCAAAACAAGAGTAGTTGGACTTGATAAATGCTCTCATGACTATAAGCACATTAATGTTATGAATGCTGAGATTGCAGAATGTAAACACACTATACCTTAACCTTCTGCATTTGTCTTTGCTGCAGATTCAGAACCCTTCTTGGATAGGCAGCAGCAGTGCGGCGTCTCCGGTGCCCGGCTGCGTTGTACCCTGCGACTCAGTCACTTCCTGCATGCCACCTCATCCACATGCTGCTAGTGGAGTGTCTGACTTCTTGGGCGTGCCCAGTCCTGGAGGTCACATGGGACAGACACACATGGGCAGCTTGTTTGGGAGTCCAGGCATGAGCACTGGCATTAATGGGTATGATCTAAACATGGACCCCGACCGGAAATCCTCCAGCATTGCGGCACTGCGAATGAAAGCTAAAGAACACAGTGCAGCCATCTCTTGGGCTACATGACTCCCCCGTAATCAGGACATTATCTCTGAAGTCCATCAACAAATACGAGAAGGAGCAAATGTGAACATGAGTTAGCCATAAAAGCATGACCTGGGAACAAGGAGTGCGTGGATTGACAAAGAAAAAAGTAATAGAGATACCAGGATGATTTATTTCAATTTGAAGTCTAGAGAGACAAGAGAAAATCAGAGATCATAAAACTGAGAATGTTCTGGCTTTAAAACAAGAAAGAAATAAAAGAAAGAAGACAGAAACTTGACATCTGAATGCATAAAAGAATTAAATGAAAAAGAAAAAAATGAATAGAAAAAAACCCTGCACTTATCCGCCACTAGTGTCCCATTTGTAAACATACATACATTTATATAAACGCATCTGGCTTTGATTTCATCTTAGCATAATCAAAACCTGTTAAATTCCTGTTCTGTCACAGACTCCTTTTCTAAATATGCCATCTCTGCCTAGACGGTTCCAAAGGACTGACAATAGAGTTTCTCACAGTAAAAACTTTCCCACTGCAGCCTTTATCCAAACATGTATGCAGTAGCAATCGTGGGGTAGACTGGACTTTCTTTTTATACTAACTACCCATATAAAACCTGACAAAATCCCTCATTGATCACACCAACATTGATTAGTTTGTTCATATTAATTCAATTGGCCTTGCAGACGTCCATCAGCTATTTAGAATAAGTACTACACTTGCCACAGTCTAAAAAGGGGCCAAGCACTTGAGAAAAAGTCTGTTGGGAGCTGCGCATCAGGCATGATAAACTTAAGAGGGCCTGGAGGTGCCAGATATCAGCCAAAAAAGAAAGGCATAACTCTCTTGCAGATAACTAGGCATTCCAAGGAAGTTTTCACTTGCCTTAATGAATTGTGTGCCCCCAGTACCAGTAGTCCCAGGAAAAAAAAGACAAGTGTGATCTGCTAGTGCAAACCCAATGTGGTGGTGGTCTCTGTCCACACTGCAATCTATCTTTCTCTTCTTCGCAACCACATTAAAAAAAAATTTCTGGAAGAAAAATTGTTCTAAAGCTGTTTGGCAAGATATGACAGCACCATTCACTGAGATACAAATCTTGGATCCGTCATACAAGTCGTCAAATTGAATGTCAAACATAACTAAGAACTACAGTCTACAGATAATGAAGCATGCAAAAATAAGTTGAGAAAGTTTTCTTTGTGTTATGAATATCATGACACGCTTTAATTTTTTCAGTGAATGTGCAGCTTATCTAGATCCCTGGAGATACTTATATACACACACACAACTTTTTGTTATTATAATACCAGAGCAGTGACTTACCTGATTTGGGGGGGGGGGGGGGGGGTGTCACAACATTGAATAGAGTTGTGTAATAGTGAGTTCTGTTTTAGAATGACAGAAAACTAGGCTTCCATTACTTAAGGTTTTTAAACAAAAACTTAAATATACTATGCATTGGATGCAATATCATGTTATAATCATCTGGTTAAAGAACCCGATTGTCAAAGGTTAATTAGAGATCACCTGCTTACTGGTGCTCAGTCTCGTGACTCATGGCCTAGATCTGATATATAAAGTGTAGAGGCATCCTTAAGTTTGAGCCATGCTTCACTGCATCTCATCACTTTACCTACCAATTTAGTGATAATGTATTATGACTAAAACCAGCACTGAATCCATCCACCAGATCAGCAGTTCAACCACCAATCCTCATTGAGAGCCATAAGGAGTTCTGCCAGTGCAGAATTGTAAGTCCTGACACTCTCACTTTGGCCTTTTAGAGGTTGCTGAGAGGGTGAAGTGACTATAGTGTTCCGGTGTTCTGGGAAAGGACAATCCAGACAGCTGTGTGCGGAGTAAATGCAAAACAAACATGCCTCACACATGCTTTCCCTTCAGCTGTCATGGCTCTTCTTTCAAAACCCCATGCTGAACAGGGTCTGGCCCACTACCCTAGCCAAAGCATTAGCCCTCAGCGACTCTGAGTCAATGCACACCCGTGCTCTCAGGCAATCTTTTTAATTAACACGAGACATCTGCAGAGAGGGATTCTGTGACAGAACAGAGCAGCATGGGCTCCGTGTTAGCCTATCTTTAACTATTGTGGAACCGGGAGGGGCGTTGATGAAGCTCAGGTCAACACTATGATTAGTTTGTGTAGTATCAGCACATATATACACTTCCATAACATTAAATGAGCTAATCTGCACATAACAGAACACAACTCATCACATTTGCTTTTGATACTTTGTATTTCATTCAAAGGTCAATCAGCATAACTAAACATGTAAAACGGTCATCAGGACGGTTCAGATTGTACAATACCCAAAGGAAATGTTCATTGTCAGACAGTACCTTACAGATGCCTAGGAGTTACAGAGATTCTTAAGTCTCTCAAAACTTATACTACTGAAGTAGGCATATCCAAGTACTAGAATAATATAATGCTTTGTTTTGTGTGTGGTCGCATGTACAGTTTTCTTTGGATTCCTTTCTTGCATAAAATACCCTTGGAGCCTTTCTTTTGTAAAAATATCCTCATTAGAAATATATTATTTTATGTGTGACTGAGGGTTCTTGCTTTTGTTGCATTGTGGGTCAGGGGATAAAATGCGATACATTTGGGTTTTTGGTATGTAAATGAACTTAAAATAGTTGTGATGGCTTAAAGCTAAATGTATGGCTTTTGAATCACTTTTAATAATTATTTACTTTCAAGCTTGTTCATGTTCTATATATATTGTGTGATTTACAACCGTAAGTTATTGCACTTACATTTTTTTTAATTGTTTGAGAACATCTGATTCGAGTGGAATAGCTATAAAATGTGTACTCAATCAACTATCAAGTACTTTGAGAACATAATGGTAAAGTACAGAGGGCTGGTAAACCGTTTATTGTCCGTATTGTTTCAAATCTGAAAAACAAGCTCAAACAAATTGTACATTTTGTTTAAACTTGGATCAAAACCGCTTTAAAAATGTTTTTTAGCAAGACATTTTCCAGGACATTTGACATACTGTTCTCAGAGCCGGATGTAACAGCCATTAAAGACATACTGAGACATGAAGATCCTGTTGGCTAGAGACTGTGCTTTTAACGAGGCTTTCCTTTAATGGGTTAAAAAATGCATACATTTTTTAAAAGTTTATCCATTACAGGTGCTGGGTATTCTACTATGGATGTTTCATTTCATTTGACATTTTCTGTGTGCTCGTTTTTGTGTTTCTCTAAATCCAGATTAATAAAAACTTAAAAAAAGAACTTATCAAACTAAATATCCCTGTGCAATATATTAGTAATTGTATTCATAAATTGCAGTCCATGAATGCAGCTTTTGATTAATAAATACAGAAAAGCAGCACGAAACTAAGTGGGAAAAAAAAAACACTTTAACTGCTGATATTGTACAGAGTTGATTATGAAATGCATGTTAATAACAGGTGACAAATGCCTTCATAATGCAGAAAATGATAGCTCAGATAGGCCTGAATGCTTGACTTTGATGATTAGCTCAGAGATAAATGCTTCCTCTCATACACATTTTTCTAAAGAAGACAAAATTTTGCATAAAACACTTCACAAGCTGCAGACAATCGGGCTCTCTGTCTGTAATTGGTCATTCAGTGACATTTCCAATACTTAACATGTTGCTGAAATTTCCTTACCAGATTTTCACTTTCTTCATGCAGGAAGAGTCAGAACAGGAATAGATTTCTCTTCACAAGTTCACTCCCCATGGAGATGAAATGAATTTATCTCAGACGTGCAGGCTTCTGAATCGAAATCACTCAAAGCGCTCAGACATCTGCTTCTGGGCCCAGACAACAGAAGCAGTTGGGAAAAAAGACGACAATTCATTCAAAATCTACACCAAGTCAACATACCATCAAATTAGGGATGAGCATGGGAACCTGAATACTCGGAAGTGATAGAAATGAAAAAACAATAACGAACATTAAACTTCAGAATATTTCATACCAATCAAATTAAAGCAACTATGCAAAATTGGGCCTCATTAATTCTGTGATTTGTTTAAGGTTACAAAAGGATGACAACTTGCGTCAGCAAAGTGGAGCGCAACTTGTTGAAACCAAATGAAAGATCTTATAACAGTTTTTAAAATGTTATTATTTTGACTTGACAACACGGTCTTAAAAATGTCATGCTCGCATTGTGAAATGCTATAAAAACAGCAAAATGCAATTATGCAACAGTCAAAAATGCATGTATACAGAAGCCTCCATTAAAAAAAAAAGAAAGAAAAGAAAGTACTTTAACAGTCAAAATGACCAAAATGCACATCTCTAAATGAAGCATTTCTTTCCACTCTCTGTTTATTACATATAATACTTAATGTCAAAGACAAACAAACAACAAAACAATTCAAAGAAATAGAGACATCAAAAAGAAATGTGACTAGAATACATTATGAGTATGAATGAGTTCTTTGCAGTTTCATGGCATATAACCATATTGTAATCAGCTGTACAGTATATAACGCTGCAAATATTGTCTTTTGATATCTAGTAATACCCAAAATACACTTTAATTAGGCAGACATAAGAGCTGAACTAAAAGGGGAACATTTATATAAAATACTTTTTTTCCAGGAACATTCAAAAAGTCAGCAACTGAAGATAAAATGAAATGTCAATACTGATATAACTCAAACTGTAATATTAAAATCACTAACAGTGACTGTGCAAAACAATATCTCATGTACAAACTAATGGCCCCAACCCAACATCTGAGATAGTCAGTTCAAGTTATGCT